AGTATTGAGTCATAGGAGTCAAACCTCATCCATTCTGCAAAAAAGAACGACAACTCTAGGGAGATGCTGGGAGTTGTAGTCCATTAGGGAGCTGCAATCTGTTAAAGATCAGCGGTGCTGACATTGTAGGAGAGGACAACGATTGTGCAATGGCTTCAAAAAATAGAACTCTAGAGAGATGCTAGGAGCTGTAGTCCATTAAGGCCACTTGGAGGGGATCTTAAAAGTAACTTTTCCAACCTGAGGAAGGTTCATACTTTGCAAGATTTCCCCTACTGGTAACTGTGTTTGGTCGAGATGATTTTTGGGGTTCCATTTCCAACATTAATAATCCCCAAATCTACACTCTTCCAATGAATTTTCACTCCTGGCATTGGAGGTTGGTCTAGATCAGTGGTTCTCAACCTTCCTAATGCCATGACCCCTTAATACAGTCCCTCATGTTGTGGTGACCCCCAACCATAACATTGTTTTTGTTGCTACTTCATAACAGTCATTTTACTACTGTTATAAATCATAATGTAAATATCAGATATGCAAGATGTATTTTCATTCACTGGACCAAACTGGGCACAAATACCCAATGCACCCACATGTAAATGCTAGTGGGGTTGGGGAGGATTGGTTTTGTAATTTGGGAGTTGTAGTTGCTGGAATTTATAGTAACCTATAATCAAAGAGCATTCTGAACTTCACCAGCGATGGATTTGAACCTAATTTGCCACACAGAACTCCCATGACCAACGGAAAACACTGGAAGGGTTTGGTGGGCAGGGGTGGCTCAACCATTACGCAAAGTAAGCATTTGCAGTATAGTTGATTTTGCCCAGGGGGCGCTCTTGGGAAAATAGACCTTGACATATGCGAGTTGTAGTTACTGGGATGTATAGTTCACCTACAATCAAAGAGCATTCTGAACTCCACCAATGATGGAATTGAACCAAATATGGCACACAGAACTCCCACGACGAACAGAAAATATATATCAGTGATTGGTGGTGGTGTGCCAAAATACTGATGGCTTACCATTGAAAATTACCTAGGGCCGCCTCTGTTGGTGGGTATTGACTTTGAGTTTGGGAGTTGTAGTTCACCTATATTAAGAGAGCACTGTGGACTCACGCAATGGTGGATCTGGACCAAACTTGACACAAATACTCAATATGTGCAGATGTGAACACTGGTGGAGCCTGGGGGAAATAGACCTTGACTTTTGGGAGTTGTAGTTGCTGGGATTTATAGTTCATTAAAATCAAAGAACATTCTGAACTCCACCAACGATAGAATTGGCTCAACTTCCCACATGGAATCCCCATGACCATCAGAAAATACTGTGTTTTCTGATGGTCTTTGGCGACCCCTCTGACACCCCCGCGACCCCCCCAGGGGTCCCGACCCCCAAGTTGAGAAACACTGGTCTAGATGAACTTTGGGGTTCCCCAAATCCACATTCTCCCAATGGATCCCCCTCTGAAGTCTTATAATCCCCAAATCCACACTCTTCCAATGGATGTCCACCACTGGCAGTGGGAGGGTGGTCTAGGTGAACTTTGGGGGGTCCCCCTCCCAAGTCTTATAATCCCCATATACACACTTTTCCAATGGATGTCCACTACTGGTATTGGGAGGTAGGTCTAGATGACCTTTGAAGTTATGCTTCCAACTTTTATAGTCCCCAAATCTGCACAATTCCAATGGATGTCCACCACTGCCAGTGGGAGGGTGTTCTAGATGACCTTTGGGGTCCCCTTCCAACTCTTACAATTCCCAAATCTTGAGTGAAAGGAAGTCCCCAAATCAACACACTTCCAAAGGATTTCCCCTCCTGGCAGTGGGAGGTTGGTCTAGGTGAGCTTTGGGGTCCCCTCCCAACTCTTATAATCCCCAAATCCACACAATTACAATGGATTTCCACTCCTGGCAGTGGGAGGTGTCTAGGTGACCTTTGGGGTTCCTCTTCCAAGTCTTATAATCCCCAAATCCACACATTTCCAATGGATGTCCACCACTGGCAGTGGAAGGGTGTTCTACATGACCTTTAGGGGTCCCCTTCCAACTTTACACTTCCCAAATCTTGAGTGAAAGAAGTCCCAAATCGACACACTTCCAATGGATTTCCACTCTTGGCAGTGGGAGGTTGGTCTAGATGAGCTTTGGGGTCCCCTCCCAAGTCCACTACTGGTAGCAGGAGGTAGGTCTAGATCAGTGGTTCTCAACCTTGGGTCCACAGATGTTTTTGGCCTACAACTTCCAGAAATCCTAACAGCTGATAAACTGGCTGGGATTTCTGAGAGTTGAAGGCCAAAAACATCTGGGGACCCCAGGTTGAGAACCACTGGTCTAGATGATCCTTGGGGTTCCCCTACCAAATCTTCTAATCCCCAAATCCACACACTTCCAATGGATTTCCACTCCTGGCAGTGGGAGGAACATCTAGATGATCTTTGGGGTTCCCTTCCCAACTCTTATAATCCCCAAATCCACACACTTCCAATGGATTTCCACTCCTGGCAGTGGGCGGTAGGTCTAGAGATGATGTTTGGGGTTCCCCTTCCAACTCTAATAATTCTCAAATCCACACTCTTCGAATGGATGGATGTCCACCACTAGCAGCAGCTGACTGGCACAACCTGGGGATCACAACCAGACACAGTGAAGACATCTGCCATTGCGCTATGCTACTCTGCTGCTGAGTATGCATGCCCAGTGTGGAACACATCTCACCACACTAAAACAGTAGATGTGGCTCTTAATGAGACATGCCGCATTATCACGGGGTGTCTGCGCCCTACACCACTGGAGAAATTACACTGCTTAGCCGGTATTACACCACCTGACATCCGCCGGGAAGTAGCAGCCAATAGTGAAAGGACCAAGGCAGAGACATCTCCAGCTCATCCCCTGTTTGGGTATCAGCCAGCACGTCAACGACTTAAATCAAGACATAGTTTTCTTAGATCTACAGAGACACTCGCTGGAACACCCCAGCAAGCGAGAGTCCAAAAGTGGCAGGCCCAAACCCAGCACCTCAATTCATGGGTGATACCAGATGAGAGACTCCCCCCTGGGCACTCAGAAGACTGGGCGACTTGGAAGGCGCTGAACAGACTGCGCTCTGGCACCACGAGATGCAGAGCCAATCTTAAGAAATGGGGCTACAGGGTGGAATCCTCAGCATGCGAGTGTGGAGAAGAACAAACCACTGACCACCTGCTGCAATGCAACCTGAGCCCTGCCACATGCACAATGGAGGACCTTCTTGCGGCAACACCAGAGGCACTCCAAGTGGCCAGATACTGGTCAAAGGACATTTAACCAAATACCAAATTTGCAAAATCTGTGTGTTTTTTTTCCTTTTTCTTTTTAATCTGTGTGTTTGTTTTGCTCTGTTAGAATTGTAATACAATGGTTGCTGATGACACAATAAATAAATAGTGAGAGGGTAGTCTAGATGACCTTTGGGTTCCCCTTCCAACTCTTCTAATCCCCAAATCCACATTCTTCCAATAGATGTCCACCACTGGCAATGGGGCTTGGTCTGATTGTTTGGATTCCCGTCCCAATTCTTATAATCCCCAAATCCATGCTCTTCCTATGAATTTCCACTCCTGACAATGGGAGGTAGGACTAAATGACCTTTGAGGTTCCTCTCCCAACTCTTATAATCCTCAAATACACACTGTTCCAATGGATGTCCACTACTGGTAGTGGGAGGGTGTTCTACATGACCTTTGGGGGGTCCCCTTCCAACTCTTACAATTCCCAATTCTTGAGTGAAAGAAGTCCCCAAATCGACACACTTCCAATGGATTTCCCCTCCTGGCAGTGGGAGGTTGGTCTAGGTGACCTTTGGGGTTCCCCTCCCAAGTCTTATATTCCCCAAATACACACCGTTCCAATGGATGTCCACTACTGGTAGTGGGAGGTAGGTCTAGATGATCTTTGAGGTTCCTCTCCCAACTCTTATACTCCTCAAATCCACACAGTTCCAATGGATGTCCACTACTGCCAGTGGGAGGGTGTTCTACATGACCTTTGGGGGGTCCCCTTCCAACTCTTACAATTCCCAATTCTTGAGTGAAAGAAGTCCCCAAATCGACACACTTCCAATGAATTTCCCCTCCTGGCAGTGGGAGGTTGGTCTAGGTGAGCTTTGGGGTTCTCCTCCCAAGACTTATAATCCCCAAATACACACTGTTCCAATGGATGTCCACTACTGGTAGTGGGAGGTAGGTCTAGGTGATCCTTGGGGTTCCTCTCCCAACTCTTATAATCCTCAAATCCACACTCTTCCAATGGATGTCCACTCCTGACAATGGGAGGTAGGACTAAATGACCTTTGAGTTTCCTCCCCCAACTCTTATACTCCTCAAATCCACACTCTTCCAATGGAGGTCCACTCCTGACAATGGGAGGTAGGACTAAATGACCTTTGAGTTTCCTCCCCCAACTCTTATACTCCTCAAATCCACACTCTTCCAATGGAGGTCCACTCCTGATAATGGGAGGTAGGACTAAATGACCTCTGAGGTTCCTCTCCCAACTCTTATAATCCTCAAATACAAACTGTTCCAATGGATGTCCACTACTGGTAGTGGGAGGGTGTTCTACATGACCTTTGGGGGGTCCCCTTCCAACTCTTACAATTCCCAATTCTTGAGTGAAAGAAGTCCCCAAATCGACACACTTCCAATGGATTTCCCCTCCTGGCAGTGGGAGGTTGGTCTAGGTGACCTTTGGGGTTCCCCTCCCAAGTCTTATATTCCCCAAATACACATTCCAATGTCCACCACTGTCAGTTGAGAGTGGTCTAGATGAACTTTTACAATGCCCAAATCTTGAGTGAAGGGAAGCCAAGCTCAAAAATAATATTGCATACAGCAAAGAGGCAGTTCCGAAGGACTGCTAACCTGCCAGTCTTCTCTTCCAAAGTGGCAATCGCTTGCACACACAGGCATACACACGCACACACCTTGGTTGTGCGTAACGTCGAACCACAGCCTGCAAGTTGGCAGGCCTCCATGCTGGGCGGGCAAAGCTGGTCCTTGTGATGGGCTTCCTCAATTTCTTGCGCAACCCACCCCCTGCTTTCCATGCCTCGCTTGGCACCAAGCAGGACAAGGAGCCCTATCTTTCGGTGAGGTGGCCGGCCCAGTTGGGAAAGGGGGGGTTTGTGTTTGGAAGGGATAGAAAGGTTTACAGATTGGCACCCCATCCCTTTTATAGGTCAGAGAACTTGGAACCAGATGGAGAGAGGCTTTGTTTACCTTTTCAAATACCAGGTTATGGGACCCGAATGTGCCAGAGACCTTGGAGGGAGATAAGGGAGAAAAATAGTTATATAATCCTTAAGGGATTGTGTCAGGAAAAGGGGGGAGAAAGAGATTTGGGAAGAAAAGTTACGATTTGGAGAGGCAATTGTGGTAGGACTCTGACATTTTTGGGAAGCCTTTTGGGGTGCTAGCACAGTCCAGGCGTTTGGGGTCAGCAGTTCTGGGGAAAACTTCTAAGATTCTTGGAATTTGTTCTGCAATTTAGGGGAAATTCGTTTGAGTTTGCTTTGGTCAGCACTGGGAGAGTCTCAATTGTAGGCTAGCTTTGGGGCATTTTCATAGAATTGTATAAAGGCAAAGTGGGGTACTAAAGGGGCATCTAGTCTGACCCACCGCCCTACTTGGGACACACAAGGCCATGTTAAGTCCAACCACGTTGTCTCCAGGACTTATGGATAAATTTCGGACGGCGCAAGGATCTGCTCAGCCCCCTTCTTTCTTGAATGCCCTTTGGGTGGTGGGCTGTGCCCTCGGCATGGGGCTGCTGGCCGGCCTCTTCTCCCTGGTCAGCATCCAGTGGCAACTGGACGTCTTGCGAGGAGAGATTGCGCAGCTGCGAGGAGAGCTGGCGGCGGCCAGAACATCTGAGCAGAAGGCCTCACCGTTGCAGCAGGTAAGAGCAAGGCCAAAATCCTTAAAGGAGGTCTCCTTGGGTGGGGAGGGTGCTCTGTGAAAATGGATAGACTTAATATGGAAGCGATAGCTTTGAAGCAGCAGTTCTTTCCATCCTAAATCTCAGAATATCTTCCCTCTGAGCATGTGCAGAGTTGACTATTTCTCCACGTTGGGAAAAGGGTCTTGGCATCATCCAAAAAGGGACAGACTCAATGGGGCTTCAATAGTCCCCGAAGCAAGTTATTTCCATGCTAAGTYTTGGAAYACACATAAYCSAAGCAAGGGTSYYTYTGAGCMTGTGTAGAGTTCACTTTCCCTTCAGTGTTGGGAAGGGTATCTYARGCATCTTGTGAAAATGGATGGACTTAAATGGTCCCTGAAGCAATTGCTYTTTCAGTGCTAAGTCTTGGAAGATMTTSATAAGYSAAACAAGRGTGTTTCTRAGCATGTGTGCAGAGTTYATYCCCCCCCCCCTYCCCAGTGTTGGGAAGGGGGTCTTGGCATCTTCTGAACAGTGATAAACTTAATGGAGCTTCARTAGTCTTRGAACCTTTTCCTAAGCCAAGTGGTGGTGTTTCTGAGCATGTGCAGAGTTCACTTTCCCTTCAGTGTTGAGAAGGAAATCTTAGGCATCTTGTGAAAATGGATGGACTTAAATAGTCCCTGAAGCAATTGCTTTTTCAGTGCTAAGTCTTGCAATTGCTTCATAAGCCAAACAAGGGTGTTTCTGAGCATGTGCAAAGTTCACCCCCCCCCCCCAAGTATTGGGAAGGGGATCCTGGTATCTTCTGAACAGTGATAGACTTAATGGAGCTTCAATAGTCTTGGAACCAAGCAGTGGTGTTTCTGAGCATGTGCAGAGTTCACGTGCTCCCAGCAATAGCACATCCACACTCTCTTCCAGACTACAACTCCCAGCATCCCCTAGACCATGCCCTTTAGGAGAGGAGGATGATCCAAATGCACTTCTTCCAAGCTGCAAACTTTCTTCTCCTTGGATCTCTTTGAGAGCATCCCAATCCTTGCATATTTGCAATTTCTTATTCCTGGAAGAAAGGGAAGAGGAAGGGGAAGAGAAGGAAGGAAGGAAGGAGAGAATGAAAGAAAAAAAGGGGAAGAAGGAAGGAAGGAGAGAAAGAAAGGAGGAGAGAAAGAGGAAGGAATGGTTGGCCACAGCAATGCGTGATGGGTACACTAGTATTTATTAAAAATCCACAAAACAGCGAGTCTGCGAAAAGCAAACCGTGAAGTAGCGAGGCAACACTGTACTTATATTTATGTTTTAGATTTGCTAAGTGGGCAGAAGCTGGGCTGATGGTGGGAGCTCACCCCAACCCGGGCTTTGAACTGCCAACCTTTTGGATTGGCAAGATTTTCTACAGCTGGCGGTTTAACCCAGCTTGAATTGTCATAGCTCAGTGCTGTGAAATCATGGGAGTTGTAGTTTTATCAAACTCTTCTCTGCCGAAGGGTGCTGGGGCTTCCCAATGCTACAAATCCCAGGACTCCATAGCATTGAACCATTGGCAGTGAAAGTAATACTGGACTGCATTAAGAATGGAGGAAGACAAATACAAGAATCCTAAGTCTCAATGTATTGTCGAAGGCTTTCATGGCCGGAATCACTGGGTTGTTGTAGGGTTTTTCGGGCTATATGGCCATGGTCTAGAGGCATTCTCTCCTGACATTTCGCCTGCATCTATGGCAAGCATCCTCAGAGGAAGTGAGGT